CCCCCCCCCTCACACACACACACACACACCATGTGAAGGTGAAGATTCATGACCGGGAGATGGGACCACCTCTCTTGGTGGCGATGCACATGAGGAAGAAGAGGTCGGTTGGCTAGCCCTTTTTCTGTCAGACAAGGCAATGAAAGAGGAGTCACCGACCCGCGAATCTAGTGGAACGACAACAATCGGTTGGACGCCAATCGACGCTCCCGATTTTATGGAAGGGGGGCTGCAACCATGGTTTCTCCTGGAGTCCCTTCAAAAGCAGATTTTCTCTCTTTGCCTTTCCCTGCATTAGTGAGTCTAAGCAATAATAATGACTTCATTAATCATTGTGTTTTGAATAACGATTGTGATTTTAGATATAGAGATGATAAATTTTGCACCATTGGTGTTAGCTGTCGCAGAGGAAACAACTCCTAATGAAACATCTAAAATAGGGTTGTTAAGGGGATTACCTCCCATCTAGGGAAGTTTTAACTTCTTCTATTTAAGTGCCAGTTTTTCCTCACAACCTTAGCCTGCTCCGCCTCAACCACATCAGAGGTTATCCACTGGTCTCGAGTCATCTCATCCTTCAAAACTTGGGTGACTATATTTTTGGCGGTGTATTTGGGGACCGAGAGCTGGTGTCCATTCATAATTCCCTTGACTAAATGCAGATTGTTCGAGAGGAACTTTAACTTGTCCAAGTTATGCCTGTCAATTTTGTCAAAATTCCCCAGTCGCCGGAATAAGAATCAACCACAAACTGCTTCTTCTGGTTCTTTTTTTCTTCTCAAGCCCAAGCAGTTGAAGTTTCTTACCGGCCGAAAACATGACAAAGCATTCCTAATCAATGTTAAATGAATAAAGATGGCTAAACAAATTGATCGAGAAAGGAACACTTTCCTAGCGACAGAAAATGACAAAAGTCGAGATCACATCAATAAAGTTTGGCAGAACTTGGTCTGGGATAACCCCATACTTGATGAAAATGCTCCAAAGCTCGGGGCACAGGGGAAGTAGAAGGTCGTGATTGATTTGGTCCTGATAGAATACAAGATTTGGGCCAACGTCGTCTGCCGTAAGCTTTGACCCTGATGCTCCTTGGAGCACAATACAGTCATAAAAAAATGTATCGATTCTGCATCTTTGCCACCTCTCTTAGTGTTAAGAACTCCCAGTAGCAGTGTAGGAGCCAAAAAGAGTAGGGGAGTACTTCAGCGCCATCAGAGGATCACAAACTCGAGATATCAAAGAAAATCTTTGAGAAAGGAGAGGCAAAAAAGTACAAAGAAACAACCTCTTCTCTTATTTATAAGGCAAGCATGAAAATCGAGGCATCACATAACGATAAGTGTCACACCGAACATCATTTCACATTTATTTAAATATTGGTTTATTACAAATAACATAATTATAGATCTTGAATGAAGTATTTAATAAATGGGTCTTCTGAGGCTTCAACCGAGGCATAACCCTTATGAATTAATCTTTGGAAGACCAACTCTCTGCCAAATCTAATTTGCTCCATTCGATCAACATCATGCTGGAACCTGCTAGAACCGTTGACTCAATAGGGTCCCTAGTTCACACTTCGCATCCGCCAGCTCACTTTGTAAGGTATTGACCTCCCCTCGCGGTGTCACCACCTCTGAATCTGTGGTTGTCAGACGGACCGACAGTTCCTACACAAGATCTTCAGCTTAACCTTTAACCACTCCCTCCAAAAAACCAAATGCTCCCACCGAAGATCCGACCACATTCGTTCTCCGCTCCACAAATTTGGAGAAAAACCATCATCACTCGTACTTCTTCTGTTGGAAACCACTAAAGTAGTTAAGTGATGTCGAAAATAATGGACCAGTCACACACAAAGGTTTGAGTGACCGATACCCTCCTGCATTGGTCAACGATGGAGGCGCGATGTCAGGTCATGTGGTCCGGGAGCAATGGTAGGAGCAGACTCTTTAGCATCATTGGATGGTCTGCCATCTTCATAGGCCTCCGACCCGAAAACCTATCATAGCCAGAAGTTTGGTCTCCATATTGTTTTGGCTCGTACCATCAGCCGTGATGCCCTTGGTCGTCTTGGAAAAGTTGACAGCAAATGATGTAATGTCAACCCAATGGTCCTATTTGTAGGGCTCACCGGGAGCGAAACCCAAAGGAAAATTGGTTATTAAATTAATTTTCTTAATTTTGGTGCCACTTATTCTTATAATTTTGTTGTCGTCATTATAGTTGTTGCTATCAATAAACAAAAAAACTTGGGGAACTAATATGTATGCACCAAAATTGCTAGATCAAATCTAAAATGGATCGAACGACTGAGGATGATAATCAGACATCTGAAGTCTCAAACCAAAGAGCATAATTTGAACCAACCAATCCGATGACTGACTGCTCAGTTGAGTCGACTGACATAAGATGTTGACAAATCTAGTCGACAGACCTTGCTTAAAGATCAAGAGGTTTCCCGGGGCTCAACCCATCTGAAGCCCAACTACTCAATTGAGTTGACCAACATACAATGTAGACGGGCGTTGTTTATCATCCCAACCACATAGGTTTCCCACAGGGTCAGTTGACCAAAACTAGTTTGTTGATTGATTTCCCTTAACGGGAGCAATCTTCATGCGACCAACTACCTCGGTAGACCAAATCCAACACGTCTACCGATCGATAACTACTTTAGTTCACTCAAATTGTAACACAAATCTAATATTAACTTTATGTATTAATTGCATTTAAGATGATTACCATAATCGTTCCCTCTTTTTCCATAATTGTATAATCAGGCCCCTATAAATAGAAAGTCAAAAGATGAAGAAAGTATTTTCCCTCCGAACTCTGGATCTGTTCTAATCTCTCCTTCTCCTCCTTCTCCTCCTTCTCCTCCTTCTTCTTCTCCTTTCACCTTCTCTTATCTCTAAAACTTAAGACTTATATTTTTAAAAGATAATTTAAGATCCAACAAAAAAATAAAAAATACCTATTTTTTTAAAATAATTAATATTAGTAATATTTAGCATTACGTTAAATATTTAATTTTTATACAATTAAATATTAATATTTAAATATATGTAAAAATTTAGAGTGTGTGGAATGTATCGAAATTTTTTGAAGTCAATTCATTTTGGGATCATGATGTTCGAAGACATTATATAATTATATAAAAAATTCAAACAAAGATGAGCGGGTCCCACCGGCAGCGACCTTATGCTTATCCAATCTATAATTGCTCCGCCATAAAAACCCATCCCCACCCGCCTCGCCATATTCTATTCCATTCCAGTGTTGAAGCCTGATTTTTAGTGTAAAAATGCTGGGTGTTTTTAGCAGGGAAGTGGCGGAGCCGCCGGAGGAGTTGGGGGCCGCCGGGGGGCCGCGGGGAGCCGTACGCCGTCACCTAAGACGCGGGCCTCAGAGTTAGTGAACCGATTTGTTACCAGGAGCGCGCCGGCCGAGGTGGTCTCGATTCAGCTGGGCTCAGTCGGCCATCTCGTCCACTCTCACGCCGGCGATTCTCCCTTCCGCCCTAGGTCTGCTCATTTCATCTCCCTGTTCCCCATCTACATATATCTCTATCTTCTGCTCTTATGTGATCCCATAAGTGTGAGCTTCATCTTTGATGTGATTTAGCCTCGTCATGGGCCTTTTATATCTTACAAGATCTGTTTCTCTTTTTCTGTCTCTCGCTTGCGTTTTCTCTGAGATCTGCTATTTGATCCGTGTTTACAGGGAGATCTGCTCTCAGAAGAACTGTTGCCTGCTTAAGATCATGTTTTATCTTCCTGAACTTTGCTAAGTGGCTGCTGATAGCTGCTTTAGTAAATCCTATGAATTCGGATTTAGTAACTTTTGTCAACGCGAGGATTCTGTAAATCCAGAATTTAAGACCAAAACTGAGTTGAATTAAGAAGAAACTCAATTTAGGATTTAAAATTTTCCTTTTGTTTTTTTCTGAGAGATTTAAGTTAAATCCCAGTTAAATTAGTTACAAGATTGGCCCTAACGGGGAAAAATTAGCATAGTGATTTTTGAGCTAAATTTACTAAATTTCATAACATCCTTTACTTTACAAGTTAATAATTAAATATTTATAGATAATAATTGAGAGATTTATATAAATACCAAATAATTCTTTTTCCCCTACATACCTAACGCCTAAACTTACTTTGCAAGATGATAATTAAAAAAGTTAATGGATTATAATTGAGTGATTTACATGCATACCCCACAATATTTTTTTATTTACATATCTAACGCTTAAAATTTGTTATTTATATATATATATATCATTCAAGCCATTAAAGTCACTTTAATAATACTATTAAGGTCAATATTTCTAAAGTGTGATGCATCTTTAGTTTTTGACGTGATATCTATGCAAATCCCCCCAAATTATTCGATAAGGAAAAAAGTCTTTGCTGTTCAATCTGATCCTTTTTTTTTTTTTTGAATTTCCGTGTGAGGGACACTGAGTCAATGATGATGCCCATGAAATGAAGTTCTATCTAGATCTCCTTAAAATTTTTTTCATACCACACCCAAGTAGCAGGGCACAGTAGCTTTCAGGCATAAAATATTTAGAGAAAAAAAGCACCATTCATGGACCTAGCGCAGTTATGTTGAAGGGTATTTTCTATTTATATAAAGTTATTTTAATAATAATTTTTCTCCAAGTATTTGGAGGGCTTTAGTACAAAATGCCTTTCTAGGCTACAAGATAAGTCAATAAAAAGATTTATGGAATGATCTTGCAGTGCTCATCTGGGTAGAGATGAGTGGTGTGGGTCTAGCTAGGGACTGTTATGGTGAGTTTGAGTGCGACTATGGCGTAGGTTTTTCAGGTGTTGGAGGAGACAAAGGTTTGGTTGAAGTTTCGCTACCTAAGTTTGTAAGTGATGAAAAGTGTGTTGCAAACAAGGCAGCGGATGAAAACTTTAGAAGTTAATAGCTATTCAAGTGAGATTGTGGTGCAAGTTTGGAAGTACGACTACAACACGAGAGATATATGTATAGTCTTGAAAGTGATAATTATTATGACATAAGTAGATTTATGGTGTCGGTTTTATAAGAGGATGTCTATAGCATATGTGAATTTGTGCTAGAGCTCTAGCTGTGACACAAGCAAGATTGCGATGTTGGTTAAAAGTAGGAACTATGCGGCTAAAAAGGTTGTAGAGCTAGTTCGGAAAAAATGATAGTCACGATACAAGTGAGGTATCTAGAAGGAGATGGATGCAATTTAAGGAAGACTGTAATATAGATCTGGATGTAGCAACAACTACATCACAAAATATGTTGCAACATAGGTCTAGATAAATAAGGTTGTGACATTGGTTTTGATTTTGCTATAGCTACACTGCAAATAAGGTTGTAGTGTATGTTAGAAAGTGATTGCTAGAGGTTTTTCTAAAAAATTTGGGCACCCATGGGCCTGGAAAGCCCTGTGCCTTGACATGGTTGCTTATATGATCTACTTGGGGATTCTAGTTCTTTCGGGCTTGGAAAATCCTATGTCTTGCCAAATGAGCTAGAATGAGCTATTAAAAATTTTGAGGAGGGTATTTTAATTCTTTGTTGAAATATATTTGGTAATAATCAATAATGAACTATATATATATATATAGG